TGCAGTGTTTCTTGGTTGCTGTAAATCTGTGACTGTTTTCCAGTTTGGATGAAGTTGGTTCTGACAGTTTCTGTTTGTCTTTCAATGTTTCTTGGGTGGGGTGGGTGTTTGGAGCTGCCTACTTCACTATTTTGCTCTAACTCCCTTGATAGTGTCCTTTAATGCAAAAAAGGTCTAATTTTGATGAAGTCCAACATATCTATTTTTCTTTTCTTGCTTGTGCTTTTGGCATCATATTTAAGAAACCATTGCCAAATTTAAGATCTGTCTTATGTTTTCTTCTAAGAGTTGTTTAGCTTCACTCTTAAATTTAGTTCTTCCACTCACTTTTGAGTTAATTTTTGTATCTGGTGTGTGAGGTAAGGGTCCATCTGCTGAAGAGACTATTTATCCCAATTGAATGGTCCTGGCACCACTGACAAAAATTATTTGACCATAGATATATGGGTTTATTTTTTGACTCTCAATTCTATTGCATAGATCTTTTTGCTAGTATTAAATTGTTTTGATTATTGAAACTTTGAAGTAAAATTTGAAATCTGGAAGTGAGAGTCCTTCATCTTTGTTCTTCTTTTTCAAGATTTTGCCTATTTGTGATCCTTTGCAATTCCATACGAATTTTACAATTAGCTTCTCCATTCTTGCACACACACACACACACACACACGCCATTGGAATTGCATTTAATCTGTAGATCACTTTAGGAAATATTGCCATTTTGTCAACATTAAGTCTTCCAATCCATAAATATGGGATCTTTCCATTTATTTAGGTCTTCTTTAATTTCCTTCAGTAATGTTTTGTATTTTCAGAGTACAAGTCCTGCATTTCTTTGGTGCATTTTATTTTTTCTGATGTTATTGTAAATAGAGTTATTTTCTTGATTCCTTTTCACTTTGTCCATTGCCATTGTATAGAAATACAACTCATTTTTGCATATGTATCCTGCAACTTTGTTGACTTTGTTATATTTTGTTTCTTTTTTCTTTAGGATTTTCTAGATGTGATCACGTCACCTGCAAATAGTTTCACTTCTTCTTTTCCAATTTTGATGCTTTTTCTTTCTTTTTCTAGACTAACTGCTCTGGCCAGAACTTCCGGTACAATGTTGAATAAAAATGGTAAAAGTGGGCATCCTCATCTTGCTCCTGATTAGCAGGAAAGCTTTGTCTTTCACCACTGAGTATATTAGCTGTAGGGTTTTAATATGTCTTTTATCGCATTGAGGAAATGTCCTTTCCTTCTAGTCTTAGTTTATTGAGTGCTTTTATCATGAAAGGAGGTTGGATTTTGTCAAATGCTTTTTCTGCATCGAGATGATCATGTGGTTTCTCCCCTTCATTCTACAAAAGTATATTACATTGAAGGATTTTCTTATGTTGAACTACCCTTGCATTCCTGGGCCAAATCTCACTTGATTATGATGTATAAACTTTTCAATATACTGCTAGATTCTGTTCATTAGTATTCTGCTGAGAATCTTTACATCTGTATTCATAAAGGCTATCTGCCTGCAGTTTTCTTGTAATGTCTTTATACGGCTTTGGGAGCAGGGTAATGCTAACCTAATACAATGAGTTAGGAAGTGCTCCTCTGCTTCTGTTTTCTGGAATATTTTGAGAAGGATTGATGTGAAATATTTTTTAAATGTTTGGTAGAACTCACTAGTGAAGCCAATAATACTGAGATCATTGGCTGGGAGGTTTTTGATTACTGATTCAAACATTTGTTATAGATCTACTCAGATTTTGTTTCTCTTTTAGACAGTTTTGGTAGTTTGTGTGCTTCCAAGAATACATGAGGAACAAGGCTCTCAGCAAGACCAACCTGGTCCATCCCTGAAGGCGGAGAAGGTTAATGGGCTTGAGGAGAGGGATGTGGATGCAGCCTGGCAGGCCCAGTATTTCGGACTTTAGTACAGTGAACAGCTAACCTGCATTTTTAAGGTCCTTCAGGCTGCTTTGCGAAGGATGTAGGGGATGGGAGAAGCACAGAGGGACCAGGGACGAGGCTGCCACAGTTGTCCAGGTGGGCTTGGTGGTGGCCTCAAAGGAGGGTAGGGGTGGACTTCAGATGTATTTTGGAAGCAGAACCCGTGAGATGTACTGGTAGATAGAATGGGGAATGGAGGTCCTGAGGGTCTCAGGTCTCTGGCCTGAACTCAGGGTGGACAGTGGAAATGCCATTCCCTGAGATGGGCAAGGTGAATGCAGCAGGTGGGGGTGGACCAGGGGCTCAGGAGTTCTGCTTTGAACTTGAGATTCCTAAGTAAGTCATTTCAGGTCCTGAGGCTCAGACTCAACCTTGGGTAAAAAAGAAAGGAAGCATCTTCTTCACAGGATTCTTTGAAAAATGTGGCAGGAGATTGGCTTCCCTTAAGCATGAAGCTCTGCACAAGCCACAAATCTCTTCCTCAGTTTGACTCTGGGACTTGCTCTCGTTCTCCTCTTCACCCACGTGGTCTGGCAGTTCTGGGCCTGGGGGCAGGGATGATTTCATGCTAGGTAAAGGTCTCTGCCCTGTCTTTGGACTTTCCCAAGGAAACCTCCCCCAGAGGTATCTGACCCTCAGAACTCTTACCTACAGACAGGCAAATCTGCTGGCCCGCTGTCTAGCCTGACCCTGCCAAGGCTTGAGGCCAGTGCACCCCAGCACATGTCCCCTGTTTGATGCCTGTCCACACTTCACCCTACCTCCTGGGAGGATGGTCACTGCTGCCTCCCAGTCCTGGGCTCCCTTTCAGCTGTCTTGTTCTCCAGACACCGATTCTCCTGACAACTCCCTGTCTCCAGGGGTTCCTCCCTGACCCAGGATTTAGCCCAGGGCCACCCATCATCCTAACACCTAGATAAGATGTCAGGAGTTCTTGGCAACGAGACAATGTTTCTGGGAAGCCAGTCTTTACAGAGGGCAGCTGGCATTGCTCTTCCCTGGCTTCCTGGGAGACTGGTCCAGTTCTGTCCTGGATGTAGAACACAGCACAGCTCCCTGCAGACTGGGGCAGAACAGAGACTAGTTTGTTGCCTCCCACCCCCAAATGACTAGGGTGCTACAAGTAGATATGGTAAGCTGATACTTGATGGAGATGACAAAAAAATGCTTTTCTGCCCTGTTCCACAGCCCCAGGACTCCTCAGAAGAGTGATGAGGTGGACATAAAGAAAGCATTTCTATGTATCATCTATGTGGGTCTGTGTAGATCCCTGGGTGGCAGAATGAGACTTAAGTTTAGGAACTTATTTGCCTGGCTGATTTAAAAATATTTAAAATAAACATTGTTGTCCTTATCATATACTAAGGACACACAACCTGACTTTTCCTCACGCAGGTTTGTATCCATTCACTTGAAACTCTCAGTAGCCTTCATCTCTGAGATGAGTGATGGATAAGGGTATACCTTCCCTCTAAGAACAGCTTTCTTTTGGCAGAGTTTCTGCAAGGAAGAACGCTGAGTATTTGAGTACTAAGAAGAGAAACAGCACTGGGAACAAGTTCAAGGCAAAGGAAATAGCAAATGCAAAGACCCTGAGTTAGAAACTAACTTGGTCTCTAAATTAATTGTCAGCAGATGCAATTGTGAAAAAGGTTTCGGAGATGAAGGAGCTTGTAAGGATGAAGCAAATCAGTGAGGCAATGCAGTCACCAAAAAGGCTCAGGGGAGCTTCAGCTATATTGACAAAAGGACAGAAATTAAACCAGAGAAGGAGTCCTTCCACACCCGAATCCCACAATTTAAAACACCCCCAAGGAGTGGGAGTCAGGGGGATCCTCAGGAAGACAGGTGTCCCCTTAGCCTAAGGAAGAGCTTTCTTCAGTTAGAGAGGTCTGAGGATGGGCGGTCCTGACGGCTAGAGGTGTCTGAACAGAGGCCAGAAGACCTCTTGGCAGGATATGGTTGGGAGATTCAAGTATGGGAAGGTTTCTGAAGCAGATGACAACCTTGACAGTCTGTTTAAGCCCCATGAGAAGGGCTGCCACAGGCCTTCCAAATGCTGACATCCTGTAGGTCCCTAGGGAGGCTTTTCCGGGGACTGCACATGCCATTCAACCTAGTTGGGTGCCAACTAGAGTTCTCTCAGCTCGGCACCTGGACATGCCGCTTTAGCACCCCTACTCAGCAGAGCTAGGAACAGGCTCGAGGCCTCCATGCCAGCCAAGCCGTGGAGGGAGGGGGAAGACTTCAGTTACCCAGGGACTCCCACCCCACATCTGTGATCATTTTCAGTGGTACCAACAGGCATTAAATAACCTTGTCTTATAGAGAAAATCATTTCCTTTCTGGTTCCCATTCCAGCTCTCCAAATCTACTACGGAGAAGATTCTCGGTTGGGTGCTAGCACGTCTAACTCCTCTGTAACATCCCGTAACAGGAGAGCAAGCCTCAGGCTCAGTCTTTGCAGGCAAGGTATCGATTGCGCTGCCGCTTCATAACGCTGTTAATATTCTTTTGTGCAGTTGCTTTCTACTTATATTAAGTGTAAACTTTCCTTTAAAAATGCATTTAAAGTAAAGAAATGAATTAACTTAAAAATATTAAGTAACTAGCAGTACAAGTACAGGGATCTGGCAAAAATCACAAAGGTGATGCCTGACAATTGAACTTTAGGGAACATTGTTCTGGATTAAGGGCTACGGGCTCTATAACTTTCCATCTAATGCTTTTGTGTTTCTGGGGTTTTGTCTGTTGAACTTGTTTTTCCCTAATATAGATTATTAAAAAAAATTCAACTTATTTTATTTAGCTGACTGATGAGAAAGGGAATTATTTTCATTTGGGCTAATAAAGAAAAACAGAAGGGCCCTCGAGGTCAATGGCTCAGGGACAACTGGCAATTGTGGAGTGGGGAGATGCAAGTGAAGTGAAGAACCCTGGGCAGAAGGTTCCAGCACAGTGGAAAGTGCTGCTCCCTCCCCTCAGACTCTCAAGTATAAGTCAGAGAGCCAATTAAAAAGATCACCTTATGATGGGGAAGAAAGAGAAAGAGGGAAAAGTTTTTTAAAAAGTTTTTTAAAAAAAGTTTATCTTTTCTTTTTCAAAAAGTTACAAAATTTAAACAATTAATTGATTAAAGTTAAAAACCTATGGTTGCAAAACAGAACTGATCTAAAAGATTTCTGGGTCTCTTGACTCCAAGTCCAATACTCTCTCCATTTTGACCCTTCATTTCTTGTAGATCCCATACTTTCAGGTTTTTCTTTAGTGTAATCAGCACTTCAAGTGTACAAAGCTCTGGCTGAAGCAGCAGGAGGAGCCCTGGCGGGACTGTGTCCCACGAAGGCTGTATGTGGGCTGAGCCCACTGCTGCCAGAGCTCCCCACACAGGACCCGTGATGCAAACCTGGGCCTCATTCCTCACCCCATCAGCCCTCCTGGTCTCTCCTGGAGACTCGACCTCCAAGAGCTTGGCTCTCCTTCTGGTGGCCAGCCACATCCTTGGCTTCATTCCATTTTGATTCTGGTCAGCTCCCACCTTCCTTCTCCACAGAGTTTCAGAACCAAGGAGTGAAACTACAAGAGACCATCACCACACAGAAATCAGGCTGCCCGGGCTGTGACAATAGGAGCCTGCCCTCTCTCCCACCTCCATTCTCCACTTTGAGGGGCTTCTGGCCTTGGCCAGGCCCAGTCTTTGGGTTCTTCCTCCTCCTGAGGCCATCCCATGAGCACGGGTACCTTCTCAAGGCTGCGCCGATGCCCCACGCTGACAAATGTCATGCCCAGCTGCTGGCCGACGCGGTAGAGCTCGCTCTCCACCTCCTCAGTCAGGGCACTGGTGGCTTCATCAAGCACTGAGGGCAGAACCCAGTGGGAAGAGATGGAGTCCTGTTTCCAGACCCACCTCTGCTTCTCCCCAGCCCACCTCCAGTTGGAACCTGGGGGGCTGCTGAAAGCTGCTCTGGCTTACAGGAGCCCTGCCTTAGGGAAAGCATAGGCCAAAGGCATAGAGGGCTAGGCTTTGTCTGGGAAGCCTTCAGCCAGTGGCAGGACAAAATCCCTCAGCTTTCTAGAGATAAGCACCAACCACTGCCTAGGATCACTCAATCCAGGGAATCCTCATTCCCCCAAGGATGTCAGTTCTTGGAAAAGTCCACACCTGCCACCCTCTGCCAGGCACAGCTGGGAGGAATGGCCATTCACGGATGGCAGAGCCTGAGGAACATAAAATCAGAAGCCCTTTCAAGGCTGGCTCCAGCTGTTGCACTGGCTTAAGAATCAGCAGTTTAACATTTATCTGAGGATGCCAAGCACTGCTGCCTCGTGGGCAGAGCCCTGCCGTCCTCTCCGGCAGGGACACAGATGCCCAGCCATGCACAGGTATGCTCTCCTCCCCGTACAAATGCCTCTCCAGGTATACACACGCTGCTACACCAGTGAGCACGCACAGTACCTGGCTGGAACATGCACCTACAGGGTGAACCTCACCTGCATACTTTGGCTGCAGGTAGAAGAGCCGGGCAAAGGAGAGCCTCTGCATCTCTCCAGGGGACAGAACATCATACCTGAGGAAAGGGAGCGAGAGGCCTTCTGGAGGAAGGAGGATATAGCTTGGCTTTTGCACACAATGGGTCTGGGCAGGAAGAGGTTCTCACTGCAGACAGGCTGCCCCAGGATGGACGTCACTCCCCTTTCCACCACAGCCCCGCTGCCCACACAAGGCAAGGCCAAAACTCTGCACCCAAGGACAAGAACCGTGCCCTTGATGGACAAGCAAACCCTGGCATTTGGTGTCAGAAGCCATTCCATCCCTTGACTGGGCCCCTGGAACCCACCGTCTTTGGGGAAGCTGGATCTAGAGCACCCTGACCTCCTTCTTACCAGTTCCAATCGACCTGCTGGTCCAGACCCTCTGTCCTGGCTACCAAGCTGGACTGTAACACATCCAGAGGAAATGATGTCCGTGAAAGGGTCCATCCTCCATCCGTTTTCTGCCATCCTGAGGCACCTCCTCAGTCCCACCACGCACACCCGAGACAGATCTACCCCCGGTGGTGTACACAGTGGGGGCTGGGGGAGCAATCTGCCCCAAGCAGAGAGGAGCAGTCCACTGATTACACTGTTTAGATTTGCTGGAGTGTGGTGACAATAAAAAGCAGGCTAATGTAGTTTTATTATTGTTTTAAAATTTGCTAGATAGTGGACGCTGCTTGTTACCTGCACCTGGCCAACAGCTTCCACTGCTACTTTATACGCCCACTCCCCCACCCCAGGTTCATACTTCCAGCCCTGGGCCAGGGACAGTAGAGCTGGCTCTGCTCGCCCAGCACCTGTGGTCTGTGCTACCAGGTGGGCTTGGACCTCAGGGTCCCTGCCCTCACTTACCAGGCCTGCCAACTCCAAGAACCTCATGATCCTTTCATCATCCGTAGAACCTGTAAAACACAGAAACCTTCTTCAAGAAATCAGTTCCTCTGGGTAGCCACAATAAATGGCGCATATCATAGCAGAAGGGCAGGGGTGGGGGCCCCAGAATGTGGGCCAAGGCTCTGAAGTGACAGGTTACAGTACTTAATAAACAAGACAAAGGTCAGGTGAAGGAAGTAATCCCTTCCTCTCCTCCAGTGGGGGGAGGTGTCTCTCTTCCAGGAGGGGAAGACAGAACAAGATGAGGTCAGCATACAGACCCCAAAATAGTAAACAAAGGAGAAGGGGATCCAACCTGAAACCAGCAGCCTGGCTGGGGCCCCTCCCAAAAGGCACAGGTGAGGCCATGGTCAAGAAGAGAAGGGACAATGGGACAGAAGGACATGTCCCGAGGCCCAGCTCACCTGAATCCGGGTAGATCTCCTTTAAGGGATATATCACCTGATAAAACAAAAATCACATGGACCTAGGACAAGGGCCAAGGAGAGGTGGGGCTGCACACCCTCCCTCAGCAACAGTCCCAGGAACCGTCCGAGGAGAGTAAGCAGCACCCTGGCTGAGGGTCTGGTGGGAGAGGCTGGGCTGGCAGACAGCAGGGCAGGGCCCCCAGGACCCAAGCTGGTGCTCAGCAAACGTGTGTGATATTCGGCTTATGGCCCCCAAAGGTTAACCTGCCCCCAGGAGTTGCTCTGAGTACATGGCCTGATCCATAGATATGAAGAAAACGTCCTTAGAGCCAGGGAGTTCCTGGGCACACGCCACTTTATACCTTGCCTGCTGTCCCACGACTCTCTAGGCCGAGACCTAGCATACCACCAGGAGTCCCAGTGGGGTGGGAGGAGTGGGCCCTGGGCTGACCTGTTCTCGGAGGGTCCCGTCAGTGAAGAAGGGCTTCTGTGGCAGGAACAGCACCCCATGGGGTCCAAAGTCTGTCAGCATCTGCACTGAGCCTGCCGAACTCAGAGAAAACTCCATTTTGAGATCTCCAAGAGAAGGTAACTGCCCCTTAACTCCCTTTCCCCACCAAAAAAGGCTTGATTCTTACACACATACCCTCATAGGCCAAGGCTGGCTCAGAGGCAGGGAAGGCTGGTTCTCACCTCGTGTGCTTGCCCAGAGGCCGCCCAGAACCCGGAGCAAAGAGGTCTTGCCCGTGCCTGTGTTGCCTGTGATAAGCAGGCTCTGCCCCTCGGAGATCTTCAGGCTCAGGTCCTTGATTAAGGGTTTGTTAGACGAGGGGGCGGAGATGCAGACCCGCTCAAGGAGAAAAGCGGTGTCTGTCGGCTCTGCTCCTGGCCATCCTGGGCCTCTGGGGTCAGAGAAGGGAGGAGTGGGGAAGATGATAGGGTCAGTATTGCTGGTGGTGGTGTGGGGGGTGTCCTTCTCCTTGGGGGGCACCACCTCTGGACTGGGGGGTTGTTATGGGCTGAACTATGGCCTCAAAATCATATGTTAAAATTCCAACCCCTAGTACCTTAGAATGGAACTACATTTGGAGAGTCTTTAGAGGCAATTACATCAAAAGGAGGCCCTTGGGGTAGGGCCCAAATCCAGTATGACTGGTGTCCTTTTAAGAAGAGGGAGAGACACCAGGGGTGCACAAGCACAGAGAAAAGGCCACGTAAGGACACTGTGAGAAGACAGCCATCTACAAGCCAAGGAGTAAGGCCTCAGGAGAAACCAACCCTGCTGACACCTTGATCCTGGACTTCCAGCCTCCAGAACTGTGGGAAAAAAAACCTCTGTTCTTTAAGCTACCCAGTCTGTGGTACTTTGTTATGGCAGCCTTAGCCAATGGAGATGGAGTTGGACACCTGTTCTGTGGCAGGCTGGGCAAAGTCCTGCCCATGACTGATCTTAATCAGCCTTAACAGCCATGAACCACAGCTAATATCCTCACTTGGCGGGTGAGGAAACTGAGTGAGAAGGCTAAGTGACTTGCTCAAGGGTACAGAGCTGCATCTGTTGAATTCTAACGCTGGTGGGTTTTCATGGCATCAGTGTGATTCCTGGTAAAAATGGGAGTGGAAATACTTAATACTTTTTGGAGTGTCTGGCTTTCCATAGATGCCCATCTGCCCCACAGAACAGCAACTCTGGATTTCTACAGCCCTCATAACTCCACCCCACCCCCACCTCCGGGCTCACAGTACATGAAGCTTTAATTGTGAATAGGGGCAACAGTTAAGGCATTAGCTCCTAAGAAGAGAGTTGAGTGTAGGCCCTGAAATTCAGCCTGTTTGCATTTTTGAAAGCTTACTCTGTGGCCACCATCCAAACACTTTCCACAAATGATTTCTGACCTTCACAACAACCTTTAGAGGAAGGTTTCATTAATGCCTCCTTTACAGGGATGAAGAAACTCGGACACAGAACAGTTAATTTACCCAAAACAAGGAGGACAGGAAACAATTCCTTGATGCACAGAAAGGTCAGAAACATCACAGAGCCTGCAAAATATACAAATAAAGATACCTCTGGGTCTGAGTGAGGCATGGGGGACAAAGAGCAGACACGCCCCAGGGAAAGGGGCAGGCGGCAGGGCTCAGGGGGAGGAGGAGGGAGCAAAGGCAGAGGAGGGATACTATTCTGATTCCTGTTTTATCTCAGGCCCAGGCAGTGTGTGCGCTTGGCTTCCATCAGCTGGGGGTTGGCGTAAATTAACACAGATGCCAGAACAACAACACTGACTGTGAACGTTTACAATGTACCTGGCACAAGACAGAGATTTCTTTCATTTGCTCTGTACAACTCTGCTGCTCAGCTAGGAAGGGGCCAGGCTCCTGGGTGAACCCAGGCCGGACGTTTCCACAGCCTGAAATCTCAACCACTGCACTGAACGGCCAGCCCAGCGCTCACCTGTCCAAGTTCCACTCACTCTCGTCCAGGATCTCATCATCCTTCGATTTCAGGGACATGTCCAGCAGGGTCTCCTGAAGCTCCCCGATCCTGGGCAAGAAGTGAAACCTGAGGAGGGTCTGGGGGCCCAGGTGAAGGTGTTACACCTTTTTCTCTCTCATGCCCACTAGTGTATGGTGACTTTTTCTGCTCCTTTTTCACTCAGCTACTTCTCCCAGTAGCGCATGCTCTGCTCAGGACCTGAGGGGTCAGATGCAGCCTCACCTGTGTGTGTAACCAGCCACGTCGGAGAGTGTGGCGGAGAGGTCGATGAGCCGGGTGAAGCAGTTGGTGAGGTACAGGCACACAAAGGCATTCTGGACAGGACGGAGGGCAGTGAGTGCAGGGCTTGATCCCGAGACCCTGGCACGTGGGTTCCCAGGAGGGGTTCTCACCTTGCTGACCAGGCTGCTGAGCTCCGTGGGGCTCAGGTCTCCATAGACGCCACTAAAAATGGGGATTGCGATCACGACGTAACTCAGGATGCCGCCCAGATAGTCAAACATGTTGATGCCGACTGGGGAAGACAGAGAGACCCAGGATAGGAGACCCCGGAACCATTCATGTGCTCTGAGGGGAACGGGAAGCCAAGCAGGGTCAAGCTGTTCCCTAGATCCTCACTCACCTGAGGTTGCCTCACGGCAAAGGCAAACTGATCAGCACAGAGAGGAGAGGGAGGCGTAGGGAGGGAAGTAGACTGTCCCCACCCTGTGGGTCCTGCCTCCCAGGGCTCCCTCCACCTACTGTACAGCCAGAGCTCTTTGGATATCAGCTCCCTCTGGGTCTGAAGGAGTCTCTGCAGCCTGCGGTCTGTCCTCATGTGCTCCACGTGCCCAGCTCTGATGAGAAAGGCTGGGGTGTCCATGGGGCCTGGAGAGCCTCAGCCCGGCTAGGGGGCCCCCGTGCCTCCTCACGCTCCTTCAGAGACCAAGCCCACCCAAGTGATCTTCCCCTCAGACCCTTTTGGCACTAGCAGCCAGTCATTGCTTCAACCATTCAACATGGTATTGTCTGTGGAAAGAACAGGAATTCCAGACTGAGCAGATCTGGCTCAAATCCCGGCTCTGGCCAGTTACTAGCAATGACAGGTTACTTAAGCCTCTGAGTCTCAGTTTGCTCATCTATAAAATGGAGCTTACAATACCTACATAATAGGCTAGTGTGAGAATTCCTGAATTCAAGGTGCCAGGCACATGAGGGGCTCCCGGTAAATAATAGCTGATATTATTAAACAAATATACACGGAGCAGTCACTAGGTGGCAGGCTTGGTGCTGGTCAGCCAGTGAGACAGGCGGATAAAACAGTCCCTGTCCTTCAGGAGCAACCAGTTCAAGGGGCAGGCAGATGCACTGCATTCTTTCCCTGGAATGCGGAAGGCGTTACGCAAGCAGTGTCTTCAGGGCTATGGAAGCAAACAAACTTGACCACAGGGGAGCCTGGGAAAGCACCCAGAGAAGGTGACTTGGAACTTCAAGGATGGGCAGAAATTCTCCAGGTAAAAGTGATGGGGGGAGGACAGGAACATTTCAGATTTTGCATCGAAAAGGACAGCAAGGCTGCAGAAGAACAAACTCAGGGCCCCAGGAACCAACCTGTTTTCTCCAGAGGCCAGAGTTTCATGAGCCAAGGCTGCAGAATCTAAGAACAACTTAGCACACCCTTCCCTACCTGCCCCACACAACCAATCCTTCTCAGAGATTCCTGGTATTCTTGGTGCCTCCAAGTGGTGGCAGCTGCAAACCGCAGTGGAGAGGGACAGAAGAGCAAAGTCCCAGGGCTATTAGATCCAGGTCATCCAAGGAGTAACTGCCACTCCTTAAACACAAACCCCTGGGCCCGTCCAAACACTGAGTCCAGAGTCTTTACAAGAGGCAGAGCCCAGGGACCTGCCCTGGCCCGGGGGGGAAGGAATGGGATTTCACAACACTGCTGTCAGGAGATCCCTATGCTCCACTTGGAGTGTCTGTAGGAAGCAGGTCTCCCGATCTGAGAGGCTCCATCCCCTCCCATGCTACAGAGACAAAGGATCAGCCTTGGACATTAGGTACTCGCGGAAAGTCATTTTAGAGACAGAAAAGCAGAGGCAGAAGCAATGCTTTACAGTCATTAGCAAGATTCAATCTTTTCACTCTCACAACAAATTTAGGCCCAATGCTAGGCCACTAAAAGGAACGACCATTTCAGAAGCAAAGCCATGGACCTCAGGACAAGGCAGACACAGACAGCGAGAGATAATGCGGAGAGGGTCACAGCCAAGTGTGAGGCGGCTGGCCCCCGGGCTCAGTGATGGTAGGAGGCTTGTACAATTCATCTTTCCTTCTCCACCAGCTCCACAACCAGCTCTGACAAGGCAGAACGGGAACTATCCCCACTAGACTCACCTGAAAAAGGCAGCAGGCTCAGCATTCACTCGGATCTGCATGTGCTTGAACCTGGGCAGACCACAAGGAAATGTGTGCTGACAATAGGCAGGACTGGTCCCTCTCCTTTCAGAGTCCTGGATCAAGAAGACCTCCATGCAAAGAGGGGCCTGGCTCCACCTAGAAACTGTGGCTGCCTCAGCCCAACCCTCCCCTGGACTGTCACATGGTAGGAGATTCCAGGCCAGGGTCGGGTGGTAGGAATCCTGCAGACAGGGCACCCCTTGCCCTTTCCAAAGAGGATAGGTACATGCCTGCCACAGCACCTCCTCCTCCCAGGGCCAGGTCTGAAGGAGCGGGCCAAGAAGTACAGAGTAGGGGCTGGATCCACTGGCTGACCTGAATCAGGGTGGCTGGGACAGAAGCAAGTGAGAAGGCCAAGGGACAATGATCATGATGGCCAACCAGACACCGTTCTCAGTGCTTCTCGCAAAGTACTGTATAATCTCATAAATCCTCCACTGTATAATCTCATAAATCTTCAGTGTATAATCTTATAAATCCTCACAATTCTCTCCCTTGGTAACAGTACCATCCCCATTTCTGAGATGGGAAAACTGATATTTAGAGAAGCTAAAGACCTCGCCCAAGAGCATGTGACTAGTGCCTGGTATAACTGGAATTTGAACTTAGACAGTCTTTCTCCTGGTCCCTTAACCACTGCGCCCAGCCCAGAAACTTCAAGCAAGGGAGACATACCTGAAATCCCCTTCCAGCTTCTCTTGCTGCATCAGCTTCGCCACAATGGGACCCATCAACATTTTGTTCATCATGGTTCCCAGGATGAAATACCCGAAGATGCTCACAGGACCAAGCCAGCCTGTGCTGGAAGGCAGAGAGGAGAGTGTGGGAAGCTACACATCCCCGCAGGCCTCAGCCCTGACTCCAGCCTCCTTTTGGGCAGCCCTTGTCCTATCTCAGACCCCTCGGGGACCTCTGCTACCTTGTCTAAGCTGTCAGGGGGCCTCGAATCCCTGTGACTTTGACACAACACAGGACCAAAGGGAGGGCAGGGGCTCAAGCATGCCGGGTAGACTTCTTGGGGTACAGGTGGGAAGGAGGGAAGACTAGCCTCTGTTTTTTTGGGGGGGGTTGGATAGTTAGGTTTATTTATTTATTTATTTTAATGGAGGTACTGGGGATTGAACCCGGGACCTAGTGCATGCTAAGCACGCACTCTACCACTGAGCTATACCCTCCCCCTCATCTAAGACTAGCCTCTCTTGGACCCTGACCTGGGAGAGCTGACTCCCACCCAATGTGTGAGGGACTTTGCAGAACTGCCAGGCAGGGGAGGAGGAGGGACTCTGGCAAGAGAAGCATCACCTTTGGAAGCACTGATAGGTGTAGTAGATGAGGGTGAAGGGGGAGACGATCAGCTTGCTGGCCATGCTGCTGAGCTGCCGGCAGAACCGTTCCACATCCTGGCTGATGCGCTGGTCCCTGGAGGCAATGACACAGTGACTGGACCCAGGGAGCTGGGCTCAAGAGTTCAGAGAGATAAGACAGTTCCATGTTATCTTGTTTTCAGACCTTGCCTTTCAGTGTTGCCAGCAACAACCCCATGAGAAGATGGACGCAGACAAAGGCTGGTTTTCTAGAGGCAGTGAAACCTTTAGCATCTTCAAACAGGGTTCTGGATAGTTGCTCCTTATAGTGCTTCAGTTTACCCCTCAGAAAAAGTGGCAACTGAAAGGTTCAGCACCCAAGGGTCCTGAGCCAGCTCTGGGCAGAGCCAAAGAAAGACCTGAGTCTCTGAATGATCAGGAAAGCTATCCCATTTATCTCCCTCCTCCAGTCTCTCTCTTCTAATCCTGAGCCTGCCCCCATTTCAGCTATCAGGCTGTGGAAGCTCTGTGCAGGTTAAGCCAGAGAAGAGGCCTAGAAGTTAATAAGCAGCCGTCTCCCAAGAATCTATGCTTCAAAACTCAGCTTGAGCTGAGGAAAGGTTACCTCAGGCAAAAAAGTGCTTGGGAGGGTGGGGAGTGAGAATGAAGAGAGACTCCATACATCCCATCATGCCACCAGGGCCACAATGACTCCAATTCCGAGAGAGATGTGACCTTGGGCAAGTTACTTGCATTCTCTGGGCCTCAGTCTTCTCACCTGCAAATAGCAATGGCTAACTTACATCAGCCCCCTTGCTATGTGCCAGGCACCGTACGTGTGCATTACAGGCACATGGACGTGAATCATACCATTTCATCCTCATTACATCCTTTGAGACAGGAACTATTATTATCCTCATTTTACAGAAAGGGAACCTGGGGCTTAATGAGCTGAGATGACAGAATGGGGATTGGAATCTCAGAGTGAGCCCTAGAGAGCAGTAATTTTTTACTGCTGAAAACCAGAAACCTGGTTTTCTAGCTTTTTCTACCAAAGACACTTCCTTCAGACGGTGCCTTTGCTGGAAGCCCAGGATATGAAATGGACAAAAGGGAGCTACTCTTGGCTTCTTCTTTTTAGTTCCCTGTCCTCAGATCTGAAGCCCCTCCAGGGTCCTCTGCAGAACACCCTCCCACCCCTGCCCATGGCTCTGGGCAGCAACATTTGTAGGTAACTGTAGATGATCTCATGGGGTCTGACACCGCGACTCTCCAGGGCTGAGCCAGTTGGAAGAACCATGCAGAGGGTAGCAAGGACCGAGAGGGGGCACCTACGGGTTATCGATGTCGTCCTGCAGCACGTTAAGGGTGTAGTACACGCGGCCCCGGAAGTAGAGGCGGTGGAGGTGCTCCGTGAGGCCCTTCCTCCAGCTCACATACAGCAGGTTGCAGGTGAACTGGTCAAAGCTCTTCAGCTGTGCAGTGGGGGAGGCAAGGGGGAAGGGAGAGATGCAAGTCTTCCTGTGAGTCTCAGAGCCAAGCTCAGGCTGACGGAAAGCCTGTTGACCGGGTCCCAGCCCACTCGACTGTGTACTCAGCACTTCGGCCTGCTAAAGCATCAAGTCATGGGATTCCTCATTCACTCATGTGTTCATTCCTTCTCCAAACACTGAAAAGCTTACCAAAAGCAAGGCCCTCTAGCCGCCCCCCATACACTGTACTCTGAGAGCAGATGAGCTTCTGGAGATTAGGGGACAACATCTTCTTCTTTATTTTATTTTATTTTATTAACATTTTTTATTGAGTTATAGTCATTTTACAATATTGTGTCAAATAAGGGACAATATCTTCTATTCCACTTAAGGTCTTACTTTTCTGTCCCCTAAAACTTGGAATAGGGTTCTGTATACACAGGTGCTTACTGACCAAAGACCCATCAAAAGTTGTCAAAATGTGATGAGATGTGGCTTCCTCAAGAAAACAGGTAGCGCAGCCTGACAGAGAACATTAGGCTGAGTCCTAGCAGAGCCCTGACTCTCACCATTCCATTTATGGAACATCTATATGCTAAGCACACAGGAAATAACAAGGAGCTCACAGTCTAGCAAGGAAACAATCACAAGGGTGTAAGGAATGTCAGAGCAGAGGTAAACTCAAAGTATTAGTATTTGAAGGGGCAGAGTTTGGTGGAGGAAATATGAAAGAGAAAGTCGAAGAGGACTTGAAGGAGATGACAGTGGAGGAATCGTGAAAAGTGAGCAGATGTAAAGCAAGTGAACAAGGGGTGGGGAAACGAGGCCACGATGCAAGAAAGCAACAGGTGCAAACGCTGGGAGATGTGACATGTGCCAGGCTCAGTCACAGCCTCAGCGCCCCCCAACCCAGGACAGCAGTAGCTCTGGCTGCTGAGCCCAATTTTTCAGTGCTCTGAGCTCTCTGCAGCAAGGGTTCTGTGAATGGAAGGGACAATGATCAATGATCGTTTCCACTAATGCTGAATTAAACCAGAACGCTGTGGTCTAGCCCTAAGAGCTTAAAATACTTGGGGAATTGGTCTATGTGGGCCATCAGCAAGATCAATGCCCTGCCTAGAATTCTGACCCCACGTTCCCAGAAAAGGGAGGGGATATACACCCACAGCTTGGTTCCTGCTTCCTGGTGGCCAAGCCCCACCAAGCATTCCACCCATTCTAGGCTGGGGACGAACAAAGACACAGGCAGAAGCCCTTACCATGGACTCGAGGACGATGAGCATGACAGCCAGGAATGTCAGGGTCTTAAACCCATCCAAGTCTTTGTTTCCTAGGACCCCAAAGTACTGACTGGGAATTAAGCCAACCTGGTAGATCACCAGTTGTTCTGGGGGGAGGGAGAGGAGTCAGGAATCAGTGATGAGGGGTGATAAAAGACAACAGGGGGCGTCCTCTTGAGTCCTTGCCCTCTCAATACCCCACAAAGGAAAAGGACCCCACATCAGGGCTGCCCTCCTCCCATTAGCCTCGTTCAACCACTCACCCAGTAGGGCCACACACAAAAGGGTCAGGAATATCAAGGAATTCTGTGATGACCAAGAGGGAAACAACACTTTCTGTATCTGCAGGAACCGCTGGAGAAATTGCAGGTCTAACCTGGGCCTGAAGAAGAGAAGCAGGAGAAGCAGAGACAAGCCTAAGAAAACAATTGAGTCTTAGAGAGCAGTTACCTACCGAGTTCATCTGCGTTCTTCTGTGAGGGAAGTCCAGGCCATGCAGAAAGAATGGTTTACAAAAAGTGAAGATGATAGGCCAAAAACCCAAAGCTCCATTGTAGGTTGTGAAAGAAGACTTCAATAGAGCTTGCACGATGATGTCAGTGTAACACACCACTTAAAACTAGGAGTTCTCTGAGTAACTTTATATGGAAATACAAAGGTCCATGAATGGCTTAGGGCAATTGTGAGAAACAGGAAAGAAGGAGGAAGACCTAAATCATCAAGTTATTAAGACATATCCTATTACAGGACTGGAGTAGTAACAATGTGTGGTACTAATACATGAACAAAAAGATGAATGAAACAGAGAGACCAAAACCAAAAAAATCACCTATGTTTACAGGCACATAATAGAGGAAAACTCAAATAGTTTATAGAGGTAGATGTAATAGATAGATATAATAGATATGATGGAGGTTATATCACAAGAATGGACATATTAAACACATATTATGTGCCAACACCACATACTGTGTGCCCAGTAGGTCTACACATGTTCTACATGTATTAATTGATTTACTCATTGCAACCTTAAAAGATGGAGACTATATCCTATTTTACAGATAAGGAACTGAGGCTAAGGAAGTTGCCCTGTCACCCACCTAGTAAGTGGCAGCCTTATGGGTTTGAATGCAGGCAGCCTGGCTCCAAGAATCTGTGCTCTTAACAACAGTACATGGCTTCTCTAATTTTTAATTATTAATGAAGTTATTATTAATAGAAAATGGTGGAGGAAAATTTAGGTCACTACTTCAAACTATTTACAAAAATAAACTCTAAAAACTTCAAATGGACTAAAAATCTAAGTGTGAAAAGTAACACTAGTTAGTTAATAAAATGTAGAATATCTTGAGGGAAATAGAGGTTTTTCACAATTATAAGACCCTAAACCAGAAACTAAAAAGGGAGAAAACAAATACATTTAACGTAGAATTAAATATTTTTGTTCAACACATTGCCACAGATTAAGTTAAAAGATGTGGAGAAGGTATTTTTAGAGTGGAAAACAAGACAATACAATCTAGAGCATAAAGGAATTCCTGCAAGTCTGGAAGGCAGGAAATCCACAGAAAAGGATAAAAATAGACAGTTCAGAAAAGAGGAACACAAACGCTTAACACATGAAAATTAACACAATGGGATACCACCTTACACTCATTAGATTGATAAATATTAGAAAACCAAACAATACCAAGCGTTGGAAGGGGATAAGGTGGGTGAAACAGGAAACTTTATGCAATCTGTTGGGAAGTCGAGTGTGACCATTCCAGAGAAACAATTTAGTAGAATTAAATGTGCCCGAGCATCCTACCCTCGGGTGAACAAGCCAAAGTAAATCACACATATCCACAAAAGAGACAAGTGGTTAAAAACTGGAAGCAATCTAGGTGTCCCTCACTAGGGGAATGTGTAAGTAAAACGGGGTCTAATGCACTTAGGTAGCACCATGCAGCACTCAGAAGTGAAAACCAGATTACTATGGCAAGGATAATCTCAACAACACAATGTTGAGTAAAAAGGTTTTGTTTTGTTTTGTTTTGTTTTAAATGACAGCGTATTATCATTTATACGAATTCAAAACCACTGTATATTTTTTATGGTAACATATACGCAAACTTCTGTGGGTGACTGAGAAGGGGAGTGAAATGGATTGAGAATAAGGAACGAAAGTAGGAAGATAAAATAAAACACAAGAGGGGCCTTGCACTGGCCCACAGTGGGCCAAGCACTGAGGATGTCCCTCTCGATTCCGTGCACTTGAGATTCTTTAAAAAACAAAACAAAGAAAAAAGCCAGATCCGAGGGACAGGACCTCACACCCAGAGAGCAGGGGCCGGCGGCCTCGAGTCTAAGGGGAGGTGGGCGCCCCTTCGGGAGCTCGTCTTTCGCCGGGGCCGGGCTCTTCAGGCGGCGCGGACAAGGGCGGAAGGCAGCTGAATCCTTTCCCCACACGGCCCCGAGTAGGACGCCCCGAGGCCCGGCCCTCCTCCCCAGCCGCCCCGCTCACCTGGCGCCAGCCCCAGGACCGGGCCTCCGGACCGACATGACCCGGGACATCCGACAGACGCGGGAGCCCAGCAGCCCGGGGTCCGCTCCGGGTAGAGTCCGAAGGGCGCGCAGCCAGCCGAAGAGGGGCGGAGCCCCGGCCGCCGGCTACCACAGAGACAGAAGGATAGAGAGGAAGGCCCCGGGCGACGCAGCCGCTCCCAGAAGCCACCGACTTCTCTGAAAAATCAAGAGTGCAGAGTCTGTCGACCCGGCACCTAGAGCGCCCCCTTCTGGGTCTGGGAGGTTTCACCTTTGATGAGACGTAGCTGAGAATGTGACCGCTGTATTTCATGACAAGTGTTTTAAACTCTTAATATCCATGTTTCACACGTTCTCCCAAGGAAGCCAGAGTGATCTTTTAACAACATAAATCAGGCTTCCGACTGCAGTTAGAATAAAATCCAAACATTTCCATGGCACGAATGACCCGGCCCTCTTCATTGGGTCTTCATTGGCCACTTTATTTTGGGCTCAGGGTCTTTGCCTGGATCGCTCTTCTCCCTAACTTAGAGATTTCCATGGCTGACTCACTCTCATCATTAGATCAAATGTCAGCTGCTCATCCTACCTAGAATATGCCGTCCTTGCCCCATCATTCACTATTGCTTTACACCTTTATTTTCCTCATAATATTTATCACTGTCTGAAATAATCTTGTTTCTTTGCTTATTGTATGTCTTCCTCTATAAGAATAAATTTCATTGAGCAGGACTATGTCTTGCTCATCGCTGTGTTCTCAGTATCTCAAACATTGCTAGTACGTAGTAAGTGCTTACTAAATATTTGTTAAATGAATGAAATGCCTATCATCTAGCTGATTACAAGCAGCATGATCTCACAGCACGATTCTCTAAGTTTGAATCTGGATGTACCTTCCCACCTTCTTTCAATCCTTGTTAAGTGTCGACTATGTTCTAAACGTGCAACAAGATACATAGATCACCTGTCTTCATGGAGTTGACAGTCTAGCTGGGAAGGCCAACCAGTTGACAATTACAGTTGTCTTTATGAAGTGCTATGATAAAGGTACCATAAAGCAGGGTTTCTCAACCTTGGCACTGTTAACTTTTGGGGCCTGATAATTCTTTCTTGGGGGAATAGACAGACTGTCCTGTGTATTGCAGGATGCTGAGAAGTATTCCTGGCTGCTACCCACTAGATTCCTACAGCACTACCCCAGACCCTGTTGTGCCAACCAGAAATGTCTCCAGACATTGCCAGATGTCCCTTGTGGGGTTGGGCTGGGGAGGAGCAAAATTCCAGCCTTGCCCTACCCCCACCCTCACCCATCACCAAAAACCAATGTCCCAGAGCCACAGAGAGGGCCATCCAACTCAGAATGGGGAAAAAAGGAGTCCAGATTTTGTGGAAGAGGAGATAATGGAGTGATTCTTAAACATGGCAAGAGTTTAACTTATTCCCAGGTATGATTTCTGAAGTATGTCTTTGTTATTTTGAAAATCAAACAAATAAATACGTCAGGATACAATTTCTGAAAAATTAATATGGCAACGAAGTATCCAGGCAAGCAACCTCAGCTTGCTAGGGCAATCCAGGTTCACAGCTCTTTTACTCTCGCAGCTCTTTTACTCTCAAAAGTGTCCTACTTTGGTGTTTGGTGACATTACTTTTCAGGGCCCCTTAACACTGTATATTACTTTAAACTTTAAAAAGTATCACTCTAATATTAAACTGGACTTGAAGTATATTTCAGCTGTGAAAATATAGATGCAAATATCTGTACAGGAAAAACTATAATGAAATATAACAAAATGCTGTATATATCATATCATTCATCAATACTTCAGTTTATATTTCTAAATTATCTTTTAGTTAATTTCCAATACTTCAATCCTGAAGTGGGGATTATGCGAAACCTAATGAAACACTTAATATTTAAAAAAAAATTTCTTAGTATCAAATATCCTGTGTTTAAATTTCCAGTTGTAACTGTGATATTTACTTTTTTTTTTTACAGTTTTTTAAAAAAATCAGGATCCAAATAAGATCCATGCATTGTAGTCAACTGATACGTACTTTGAAATCTTATGGTTACCAGGAAAAGGGAGTGGGAAGGGATAAATTTGGGAGTTTGAGATTTACAAATGTTAGCCACTATGTGTAAAAACAGATTTTAAAAAAAGCTTTTTCTGTATAGCACAGGGAACTATGTTCAATATCTTGTAATAACCTTTAATGAAAAAGAATTTGAAAATGAATACATGTATGTATATTTGTGACTGGGACATTGTGCTGTACACCAGAAATTGACACATTGTAACTGACTATACTTCAATTAAAAAAAAATACATATTTTGAGACTCTTAATCTATAGGCTCATCCTCCATCACCTTAGACTAACTACTATAATCTCTCTCCTATCTTGCAAAAACCTCCTAACTGATTCCCCCACTTGAATTCTTGCTACTGTTCTAATCCGGTTCCTACACAACAGTCAAGGGAGTCTGCAAAAATCAGATCAATGGCTTGCTTAAAACCCTTCAGTTATACGAAAGGCTCTGACTTCACCGACTACGTCAACCTTTGTGGGGGCTGGGAAGCAACTTTGTTCCCCTCTACTCTTTTATTTATTTCTACTTTTCCTTTTGTCTCCAGTATAATGTCCCTCCCCCTCAAATCCTCTCCTGACCACCTTCTCTGAAGGACTCTATTAGTCCTTCCCAAAGCCCCCAATCTTTAATCCTTATGGCACTTATCAAAACTTGTTATTATATTTTCATTTTGTGTGTTTACTTCATTAGTGCCTCTCCCTCCACAGCTCCAGAAGGGCAGGGACTAAGTCCATTGTGTTCACCACTGCTGTGTCCCTGTTGTTCAGAAACACTTAGAAAGGGCACAATAAATATTTGTTGAACCTGCTTTACCACGATGGAGAGGTTGTGAAACAAAGCACAATTCTTTCCCATTCTGATACAATGCTATATGGATGTGCTGGCATTTGTTCATTTTTTGACTGGGAATTGCATCACAAGCCTCAACAGAACAAGGAGAAATATTAAGAAAATAAAAATTCAACTTGATCTAAAAAAAAAATATGTGTGTATGCACATATATATATATATATATATATATTTGATGAGCCAGACAATCCCTGACCTCACGAAACACACAGGCCACTCTCTCTGCCCATACTGTTTATTACTAGGACTGAAATTCCCCCTTTCCAGCTACCAGACTTGGGGCTACTTCCTTGCTCTCATACAAAGACAAAGGGAGAACAAATTGGTTAAAAAAAAAAGGAAAGGAATTTAGTAATAACTATCAAGCTTTGATGACACAGTAGTTTCACTTCCAGGAATTCTCTTATAGCTTTATTTACCCAAGAGCACAGAGGATTAATCACGAGGATGTTTCTGCAGTGTGGTAGGTAACAGCAAAACCCTAGAAACAAACAACCAGAGTTCCTATCAAAGGAGGAGTGGGTAAAAAAGTACGACACAATCACTTTATGGAATACACTTTGCAGCCCTTACTAAGAATGAGGGAAGCTACATTGCTGTGGTGGTTCGGAGCATGGACCTCAGAGCCAGATTGCATGGGTTCAAATCCCTGCTCTACCACCTAGTACCTGTGTGACCTGGGGCAAGTTGCCTGTTTCCTTCTCTGTAAAGTGGAGTAATATCACTCCTACCTCAGAGAGCTGTGGGGAAGTATCTAAATAGCACCTGGCAATGATCAGAGCTAAATGCTGTATTACATAGTTAATAGTTGCCCATGCTGCATGGTTTTGTTCATTTTTAATTAATTAGTTTAACTGAAAATTTAAAAACACACATGCTCAAAAAATTGACAAAGGATGATAGGGCATATAATGGAAAATACTACTTCTGTTTCCCACTGCAGAGGCAACTATGGTTCACGGTTTCTTAGGAATCTTTACAGAAATGTTGTATGTATATGCAAACGTATATGTGTGATTATTTTTCACACACATACACCCCTATTTTTTCCTTTTAAGCACTGTCTTGAAGCTTGCTTTTTAGATTTTATAATATATCTTGGAAGTGCTTCCATGTCATACAGACCTACCTCATTTTTTCCCACTGCACAGTATTCTACTGTATAGAAGAATCATTTATCCAAGTCCCTGTTGCTAGATATTTTAGTGGTTTAAAATCTCTTGCTATTACACTGAATGTTACAATGAATATCTTTGGATATAGCAAAAATATGACTAAGTTTAAAAGAAGGCATAATCTATATTTTGTTTAGAAAAAAAGCATGTTTGTGTGCATGAGTATACACTCATTTAAAATGATTGGAATCTGTAGGAATTAGGAATGCAAGAAATGGAGATAGCAAAAGACAATTTGAACAAAAGAGTCATGCTTGAAGTGGGTTGTTTTTTTCTTTTTTAAATGTGACCTGCACAGTACAATCTTCCCAGAGGTTGTCTCTCAATACAGAAGCAATCGCCTCATCTTCTGGTCTCCCAGCTCCTAGTTCACACCTCAGTAACAGGCAGAGTTGTTCCTTCCTGTCTCCCCTGCTAGCCTGCCTAGTCATCCTCACCTCCTGTAATACTCAGCCCAGTGCCTGGCACGTAGAAGGTGTTAATTAAACACTTCCGGAATGACTCAAGCTACTCCTCTGACCCTGGTTACCCTGTATATAAAATAAGAACGGTACAGTCGACCCACAGCTCACGCCATCATGAGAAATTACTGAACAATGTGAATGTTCTTGAAAAAAATGAAACGGTGTGATACTCAAGAATACTTAAGAATAACCGCTTAATCTGAAATTTATCCTTTGGGCTGCAGTGTAGCTGGTTCAAAGGCCAGTGGCAGCTTCCCCATGAGACTAGCCTGTTAAATGTGTTTCCAGACGAAAGAAAGATGGAGCAGGAGGGATGAAGTTGGTAGCTGAGCAGAGCCCTGTCGTCAAGTCTTTTAGATCTGAAACATCTGGGCTTGTTCCCATTCTAGAAGTAAATCATTTTGGAAAGATTTGCTCCCTGAGCTGCATGTCTGTTAAAAAGTTGAAGCCTTCATATTAGAAATCACCCAAGGACTCTCTGAGCATAGGGTAATCTTAGAGGAGTGAGGAGCTGAGGCTGTTGAGAATGGTGATTCATTCGACAGTCAATGAAAGTGTACTGAGCCCCTCTCTGTGTGTGCCTGGCATTGT